GAGAGAGAGAGAGAGAGAGAGAGAGAGAGAGAACACATGCGCAATACCCACATAGATGCCGACAAAAGGATCTAGAAAGCAACAACCTAAAGAGAAAAACAATTTCTAATGATGGAAAAGGAAACAAAAAAAAAGACGTCTACAAAAACACCACCACCACCACCATCATTACGGAGGAGGAAAAAAATATAAGCAGCAACGACAGTCCGAAAAACCCACCGTAACACACAAAGTTGCCACGAACACCATCACCAACACTTTACACAGAGGCATCGTACACATCCGTGCGCAGAGGTGTATTTGCAGTCCATACTGCAATTCATTTTTCCTCTTTTTTTTTGCGTGTGTGCATGTGTGTGTGTTTATTCTCTCCCTCTCTCGCCCTGCAAATGCGTGCAAGTGTGCAGGAAGTCAGCACCCAGGCTATTCCGTGTACGTGTCGGTCTCCTCTGCTGCATACAACAAAACCCTTCCTCCTCCGCCCTTCCATTCGTTCAAAAAGACACTCCTACACAAATGGTCATCTCTTCGCTTTTCCATCCCACATGCATCACCGTTTGCGTCGACGGGCCTCTAGCAAAGCCCACTGAATGAGCTTGTTGTCCTCTGGGCTCAGGTTCTGCCGGTACTCCGCAACCGCGACTCCATTGCGCACGCCATCAGATTCTTGCTTCTCACACGAGCGCGACGGCGACGTCGAAACGTTGACGTCACGCAACACCAAAGTGTTACCCGGCTGCCTCTGTCTCTTCGGTGTGTGGAAGGGCGGCGATTGGTCATACGCGGCTGAAGCGTCGTCGTCGTGCCACCCCACCGGAACGCTGAAGTACTCAGCACCACGCCTTGCCTCAATTTCGCGCCGCTCCTTCGGCGAAAAAATGGCGTCGGCGGACTGTGAAATACGCTTCAGCGCGTACATGACGCACCCCTCTGACATCCGCAGGTCGTGGATGGAGTCGGCCGCAAAGCGGCCACTCAGGGTGTGGGTTTCCTTGTGGAAGGCATGCAGCACAGACTGCAGCGTGGCCAACGCGTCGTGCAAATGGTCCTTCACAGAAAGTGCAACACACAACGCATGAGCACGGCTGCGGCGCAAAAAGTCGCTGCTACAGTTGGAGTTTAGCGTTGTGACTTCATTTTCAAAGTCGGATCGTTGTCGAGATCCCTTCTGATGCTGCTGCGCGTTGGGGAGGACATGCTGCGTTCGTCCAGATGCTTCTGACGGATCAGAACATTTCTTCGACACCGCAATATTTCCCACCACCTTTTGCTTCGCGTTGTCCCGCCATTGCGCCACGACGCCGGCGAGCAGCTGGGACAAAGACACAACCTCGGCCGCCGTGGAAGCCAGCGCAACTGACGGGGCCGTCTTTTTCACAGACTGTCGCTGAAGGTGTTTGTGACTACTCTCTAACCGTGTCAGGGGCGTTGGTGTAGCGAATTTTCTGCTGGCCAGTGTAGGGGGAAGCCCGAAGCGAGCCGCAGCGCCGCCACTGACGCCGGTGTACGTAAGAGAGCGGCCAAAGGCACGTAAATCACCAGTTGCAGACTCTTTACCTGAAGTCCCTGACGTTGGCATCCTCCGCATGACTCCTTCCTTGTGCCCTTCTGTGGCGGCCATGCACTGCTTCAGCAACACGGATGCCTCGCTCATGGACGCGAGGGCTGCCGCCAACTTCTCCTGCTCCTCCACCACCAAGCCGCGATGCTGCTCCAGAAAGGCAACGACGTCACTGATTGTTTGTTCCTTCACCGTAAGAGGCAGCCTAAGAGTTTGTATACAAAAATTACGTAGTCGATTTACTTCTTGCACAGTTGCCGCTCTCGTGCTTTCTTCTATTCCACCACCACTACTTCCTGTTCTTTTGTGTGTCGTCGCATATGACCGCTTCAAAGCCTCCACTTCCTTCTCCGCAGCTCGACGTGCATCCTCCTCCGCTACCAACCGCCGCATCACCTCCTCCGCCCACTGACCTCGGTTCTGCATCTCACTCTCCAACTTCCCCACCTTTTTCTCCAGGGCAGCCCTGTCAGTCTCCAGGATGGTGGATGCCCCCTGCAGTTGCCTTCGCTCAGCCTCACAAGCGTCACACTGTTGTTGCAACCTCGCCACCTGCTGTTCGAGCGCCCTCTTAGCTGACTCGGTTTCACGCTGTAGGGCATCATTCTTCGCCAACCGTCCAGTAAGTGCCTGCATTTCGCTCTGAATGCGGTTTAGCAGTTCATCGCGCTCCACTTCACTGTGCTTGCAATCGGACGCCTCAGTAGTGGCTTCCTCCTGTCGCCGCCGCAATTCCTGCTGCAATATCGCAAGCTGTGCACGGAGCTCGTTACATTCCTTCTCACGCTCTTGCAGCTTGTCTCGCTGCAGCTTTTCCGTTTTCCGCCACTTCCGCGTGCAGCTCTCTAATGTTTCGTACACCTCGTCGTATTCTGCATATGCACTATGGAGTGCGGCGACAACATCATGCCTCTCTTCTACGGCCGTTTCGGTATCCCCGGCCACACGCTTCGAGGGGTCGTGGTTCTCCCCTTTTCGCTGCAGCTGAAGTTTGTGCTGTCGTGTCGCCTGCACCTCTATCAGCGCCTGTTCTTGCCGGTCTAGTAGCCGTTGTATGGAGGCATGTCTATCCAGCAGTTGCCGGTGTTCGCCATGCAGTGACTCAAGAGCCTCTGTAGCCCTCTCCAGGTCCTGTTTTGACTCCCGCAACCTCTCCGCGAGACGGCGATACATCTGATGCTTTTCGTTTTCAGTCCCACACAGCTGTTGTCCAGACGACTGCACCCGCACTCGCTCAACACGACACTTCTTCTCATGTTCCTCCCTCGATTGCTCTGCCTCTGCTACCGCCGTCCCAAGACGTGCCACACGCGCTGGGAGGGACTGTGACGTGTCGTCCATGCCAAGAGCCTCACGAATGCGGGAAACCTCCTCCGCAAGGGCCGTGCTTCGCTTCTCGGTATCACAGGGGTGCTCACGCTCTTTGCGGAGTTTAACCTCCGCCTCTGACGTGAGTTGTGCGTTACGCGCAATAAGTTCCTCCGCCTTTGCACTCATCGCCGCTAACTCCTGCGTAAGGCGTTGAATCTCCCGGTTGCGGTCTTCCACCAATTCCTTTGCCTCGACCCACTGCTGCAGAAAGAGTGTCGCTGTAGGAGCCCGGAAGTGCCGCACACTCTCCACCACACATGCCTCATCCAAAGCAAGGGTGCTTACCTGCAGTTGCACCTCCGCCCGAAATTCGTTACCAGTGCATGTGAGCGAAACAACCTTCCGTGGGATGGCGTTGACGGCGATAGCGGCTTCGTTGAGCACGAGGGCCCGCAGAATATCACTGCCCTTGGAGTTCAGTAATGCCATTGCTTCCCTGGCGTGTGGGTCGCAATCAAGTGTAAGCGAGTGTGTGACTGGCCGATAAATTTCGGCGACTTTGCAAAGTTGCTGTTGGTGCTGCTGCCGCAGAGTGGAGAGCTCCTGACGCCGTTTCTCTTCCACACCACGAAGCTCGGTGGAGGCTCTACGGCGCAACTCGTCAAGTCGCTCAGCGGCACGCTCCTCTTGTCGCTCTGCCTCTGCGGTTACTGTTTGCAGTCGGACTGTAAGTTCAGAAATTTCCTTCTCACGAACTTCGAGCAACTCCGTGGCAGAGTTAAGCCGCGCTTCCATTCTCTTCTCTTTCTCCCGCTGTTCCTTCACCTCCTTGTGCATCACCATCACCGTTTTTTCAGTCTCGTCGAGAGCCTCATGCATCCACCGGTCTTCCGCCTCGCGCTCGTCATGGTGCTCAGCAAGCAGTCTCTCCACGCGCTGCAGTCGTTCTTGCAGCTCCAAAGCTTCCCGCTCTTTGGTCGCCATGGCGCTCTGTGCCTCCCGCAGTTGCGCCTGCACCATGTCCCAGCCCTCCTTTGGCTCGTGCCGGAGTGCCAGTAGCCGCTGCATCTCCGTAAAGCGGCATTGCAGCAAAATCAACTCCACCTTGTCGTCAGCAAGCGAGGCAGGACGGCGCACCTCCACCTCAATGGCAACAAAATCAGACCCCGCTTGCATCTCCACCACAGAGATAAACCCACACGGTGCACATAACTCTAACGATGCATCCCTCAAAAAGGCAGTCCGCACTGCCTCGGGTTTTTCATTCAAAATCTGTAGCCACTCCGCGCCATGAAAAAAACTGCGGTGCCGCGATGAGATTAGCTTCTTCGTGTTTTTCCACTGGGAGGAAAAAAGTTGTTGTTCTTCTACCTGGACTGGTTGTTTTGATCGGGTGCCCACCGCCTCTCGGTGTTGACGCTGCAACTCCAAAACCTCTTTTTCCCGCTCACGAATTACCTGCCGCATCGTACTGCACTCCCCCTGATACACCGTAATTTTTTTTTCCGCGCAGGATAATTTTTCCCGCACCTCTGCCAGTTGATGCTCAAGAGAGACCCCAGCCTCTTCCTCCACCGCTGTCTGCGTGGGTGCGGTGGTACAACAGGCATTCGTTCCCGTCACTTCGGTTTGCAGTGGCAGTTCCTGGACTTTGTCGCCCCCCTGCGCATGCTGAAGCTCCGCACGGACGGCGTCTAGCTCACGCTCCCTCTTTGCTAACGCCTCCTCTAGGCGGTGCTTCTCGTAACGCAGCTGATAGACGCCATCCATGATTTCACGCACAGATATCGGCGGCGACGACGGCCCCCTGTCCGCTACATCTACCGCAGGCCCCTTCTCCCCCTTCGCCGTGGGAATAAGTTCCCTCACGGCAAGGCCCAGCTGCACCAGCTGTTCCTCGTATTGCCGCATACGCTTTCCAAGAGCTTCATCATGCCGCTGGAGTAGCCGCCTTTCACTCAGAAGCGCCTGGAACCGCTCCACTTGCTCAGTGCGCTCCCGCAATAACATTTGTAGCGTCATCACCTCTTCATGTACGTCCCCGACCTCGTCGGCCTCCGCCCCGCGCGTCGTGGATGAGTGGTGCTGCGCGGTGGGAATGGCGCAACCGGGTTTCATACCTGCTGATATGGAGCGGAGACCGCGCCCGCGCGGCAACGTCCTCGACTCCGCCATTGCACTTCTTACGACACTCTCTTAGTCGACGTGTCCTCGTGCACGCCACAGACACACACGCCAACCTCTCAAAGCCTCGAAGCAACACCAACGGCGGAACAACAATGACGACAAAAAGGGAGGCAAAAAACAACAAGACGTGACGGAACGAAACATAAGAGACTGTGGGGACAGTGACAAATGCCGATAGGATACCCCCACAAGGTGAGAGCGCAAAAAAGAGAAACCAAGCGACACCTCTCCTCTCCTATTCTCTCCTTTAGTTCTTAATTTCGCTGCAACCTGCCGTTGCGAGTGCTATCTCTGTTTAAAGTACTCCATTATAACCTTTACATCCAGCCCTCTGCCCAGGCTCTACACACACCATCTTCTACCAGGTTATTCCTTCATCAGTGTCTTTTCAGTGAAATCAAAACGGCGCACTCAAAAACAAACCAACAGAACGTCAAAATAAAACCTTTTTTTTAAAAAAAAAAAAGTATCATTTTTTGGTGAGGGGCCAATACGTTGTCCTGTTTTTTTTTTTTTTTTGACTTAACACCTCTCTATTTTCCTCCTTCACTCCACACCTCATAAGACACCTGATAAGACCAATCCGTCAGTCAAGTGTTCGTGAAAGAGTATATATATATATAGTGCCTTTGTAAAGTACAAAATCAGGACCTGAAATAACAGGATAAAATAATAATGATATACGGACGTCACATCCTCTCGATATATATATTTATATATATTTATATACACAGGCGCACATATATGTTTTTTGCTATTCTCAACCGCATACTACGTTCCGTTATTTCTTTTGCAAAGTTTGTTATTCCTGCTACTATCACTGTGGTACACATAACAAGGGTCTGACTGACCCAGCTGCTGCGTGAACCGCCGCTCTTCCTCAGCCCTGGCAACCACATGCTCATTCCACAGCCGTGTGCCATTATCATTGTCCTCATCGCCCGCCTTGCTGCAACAGACAGCGGCATACTGCCGCAGTACGGCACGGTACTCATCTATGGTTACACAATAAATGGGTTCGCGTTGAAGTTCATATGGATCCACTGGAGAAGATGGATCAAGGCCTCTTGATAAACCATACGAGGGCTGAAGCGTATCCTCCAACCAACGAATACGAATGGCGAGGGCACGTCGACTGCGAAACACTTCCAACTCTTTCATCGGAAAGCCAACATTAAAGCTTTCCAACCTTATCGGCGCGATTGGGGAACGTGACTGCGTTCTCTCAGTCGATTGCATCGGTGATTTATTTACCGCATCCACTCCATTTTCAGACGCAAAAGACGTCTGCCTGACTCCACTGCAACTAAGTTCCATCAATGCAGATAACGTGCCAAACGAGTAACGCCTCAAACAACCGTCAACGTCCAGAAATTCTTTAGTTTTCCCCACCTCAAATTCGGCTGACAAGCCCCCAGGAGCAAACTCAACATGACGAATGTAATCACAAGGAAGGCAGGTTGCACGGGAGATCTCTAATAAAAGAACATCCCCAACTAGCTGGCGGTACTGACTTACAAGACGGGCCCAACCTGTACCCAACCTATAACAGTACCGTGTCCACCTTACGGGCTGGAAACGCGTGCAACCATCTTTTGCACCAGATTTACTTAAACAAGGAGAACACCCTGATGCCTGCGACATTGAAAACAACACCGTGCCCTCATCTCCTGTCGACCCCTGTACTGGAGATTGACAACGGATAACACCATCACGTCCTGCCAGGTTTTTCATATCCGCACCAGCGGTGAACAATTCAAACGCATTCCGCTTCTCAACTTCCAGCTCATCACCAAGAGAATCCAGCTCCTCTTTGGTGGCACGTAGCTGCTGCTGCACGTTGTCGCGCTCTGCCTCTGCCTTCCGCTTGGCTGTGGAAACAGCTTCGTACTCTTCTGCAGTCACGGTGTATAGAGGGGACGCCGCCTTATGCGGGGAGGACTGCACGTGCCCTGTAGAGCCCGCCGCCATCGGCTTGTTTGACGGGGACAGCCCGGAGATCTGCGCGCGTCGCGTCTCAACCCGTTGCCGAAGAGAATCTAGCTCCTCCTTTGGTTGCACGTAGCTGCTGCTGCACGTTGTCGCGCTCTGCCTCTGCCTTCCGCTTGGCTGTGGAAACNGCTTCGTACTCTTCTGC